AAACCTTGGATATGACTCATCCAGTCTCGGAAGTATTTTATTCTTTTATATGGGGTCTTCGTACGACCTCCATTGGCGTAATACTGCTCTTTGGTAGCATTTGGTACGGCATTACGAATATTTTTACCAAACTCGTAACACTGTGCTGACGTGTCGTCTTCTATTTGCATTTTTTTACCATAAAACCAAAAGGGTTCTGGCTTAGGTACGAAAACTTTAGGTCTTAGACAAATTATGCAAAAGTCGTTAACGAACTTCTTACATTCGTGCATCGTATATTTATAAGATATTTTTTACCTCCGTTTACGATACCAAATATTTTCTTACCTACGTTTGCCGTAAATCTGCTGTACCCGTCTTCGTAATTCTGGGGGTTAAACCCGTGAATCTTTGGCATCGATCGCGAGTCCCCCTACCTGCTGCTGCTATAGTCCGTGCTTTTTGCCCGAAAATGGCTAAAAATGACCTATTTTGCATCCTTTATAAATAATGCATATTATTGGAAAAGGTGTGAAAATGGACCAAAATCGGTCAAAACCATGGGCTATAGTCCATGCTTTTTGCTCCAAAATGGGCCAGAATGACTTATTTTGCATCCTTCATACATAATGCATATTTTGGTAAAAGGTGTGAAAATGACAAAAAATCGATCAAAACCATGGGCTATAGTCCATGCCATTTGCCCGAAAATGGGCCAGAATGACCTATTTTGCGTCCTTCATACATAATGCATATTTTGGTAAAAGGTGTGAAAATGACCAAAAATCGATCAAAACCATGGTCTATAGTCCATGCTTTTTGCTCCAAAATGACCTATTTTGTATCATTAATACATAATGCATATTTTTGGAAAAGGTGTGAAAATGGCCTTAAATCGATCGAAACCATGGGCCATAGTCCTTGCTTTTTGCCCGAAAATGGCCAAAAATGACCTATTTTGCATCCTTTATAAATAATGCATATTTTTGAATCAGGTGTGAAAATGACCCAAAATCGATCAAAACCATTGGCTATAGTCCATGCTTTTTGAACGA